ACATGACCCAGCAATTCCACTCCTGGGAATATAGACACAAGGAAATGCAAACACACATCCACTCAAAACCCTGCACATGAACCTTCAGAGAAGCAGTCAGCATTCATAATGGCCCCAAACCGGAAACAACCCAATATCTATCCACTGATGACAGAACAAATGAAATGCTGTTCATGCACACAATGGAATGTCACTAAGGCACAGAAGAGAATGAAGTACAGACCCGCGCTGCAAAGTGGATGAACCTTGAAAACATCACACTAAGTGAAAGAAGCCAGTCACAGAAGACTACATATTGTATGATTCCATTTGTGCGACACGTCCGGAATAGGCAAATCCATAGCAACAGAAATACTAGGTTGCTCAGGACTTGGGGGTGCAGGGGAAGGCGGGTAGAGAGATGAGAGCGAAATGGGGACACGTCTTCTCTCTGAGGTGGTGAAAATATTCCAAGATTGTATGATATCTAAATTGTATGCTACATGAGTGATATCTCAGCAAAACCGTTGCAAGAAACCAAACATTCAGAATCAACCAAAGTGGAGCCATGGAAAAGACAGCAGTTTTCCCGCGGGGGGATTTTAACAGAAGAAGCGTTTGACACTGTAGCCTAAGAACCTGGTGCCACCCGGGGAGCGTAACAACGGCCCAGGAAGGTCTCCTTCCCGTGAGAATGTCCATGGCTTTCCTGATTTTCCTAGGGGTCTCTGCCCTACCTCCAGAGTCTAAACTCTGAAGAATCCAAGACCTATTGACCAGATCCATTCATGCATTCCAACATTTATGAAGTCTGTGTTTAGTAGAAAGCACGTAGCCCATATCTAGTCTTGCCTTGTATTATCTCTCTGCTCTAAAGTGACTGCATTTTTAGGGGCATATTGAATACCTCTGTATGTTTGGTCCTGTGTTTAGCAGGTGACAGTAGGAGACTGGGAAGGCGGGGTGGGGGGTGGTGGGTGGTGAAGAGCCGGTTATGAGAGAAAGGTCAAAACAAAACTCTGAGGTCCAATGGAAGTGGTTCCCACTCCTGACCTCCTGCCTTCACCTCTCCCTCCCCCATGTCCCTCACCTTCAAAGACCAATAACCTACCCTATGGTGGAAACATTAAAAGCCCCAGCTCTGGGAACCAAACCCCCACTCTACCACCTACAAGCTGGGTGTGACTGCAAGCAATTTTTTTCTTAAATGTTTATTTATTTATTTTGAGAGAGAGCGAGGGGGGAGAGGGAGGGAGACACGGGGAGAGGCAGAGAGAAAGAGGGAGAGAATCCTAAGCAGGCTCCGTGCAAACAGCGCACAGCCTGACGCGGGGCTTGATCCCACGAGCCGTGAGATCATGGCGTGAGCCAAGATCAAAAGTCGAACGCTTAACCGACGGAGCCACCCGGGGACCGGCTTCCGGCAGTTTCTTAACCTCACTTCCCCACATGTGCGGTGAAGATGTTGGCAGTTAGCAGCCTGCCCTACGCGGGATTAGATGGGTTCATATGAGACCCAGCAAACTAAAGGGCCACCAGATAGTGAGTACTTTGGGGGCACTGTGGGCCATGCCGTATCTCTGTGCTGGCTACTCATCTTCACCATCAGACGTCAAAGCCACCGGAGACAATATGTAAAAGGGAGAATATGCTGTGTTCCGATACAACTTTACTTAAGGACAATGAAATCTGATCTCATGTAATTTTCACGTGTCAGAAAATAGGATACTTCCTTTGATTATTTTTCTCAACCCTTTAGAACCGGAAGAGCCAATCTCAGCTCGTGGGCTACACAAAAATGGATGGTGGGCCAGATGGGGCCCGTGGGCTGCAGTCTGCCACCTCCAGAGGTAAAGCACTTAGAACAGTGCCTGGCTCAGGGGCACCTGGTGGCTCAGTCGGTTAAGAACAGTGCCTGGTACACAGGAAGCACTCACCACCCACGAACCACGCCCCAAGCAACAAGAAGCTGGGCGTTGGCCGCGTGTCACCCCTGTGCTGTGCCCTCTGGGTACCGTATCTCACGGAAGTCTCACCTTGACCGTGCGAGGCAGGTAACACGAGAAGTCAGGTAAGAAAGCAAAGCCTTAAGTGAGCAAAGGGGTAAATCCAGGTCTTTCGGTCGTGAGCTCTTGCTTCTGACCGTTAGAAAACACCGCGCTGGCCGCCAGGGCATGCCAGGGAGCCAGACCCACTCAGGCTCAGCTCCAAACACCACAAATCATGATTGAATTAACTGGAGACGTTTGTTACAGAAAGCGAGGGCCGGAAGGGGGACAACAATATCAGCCCGTGGTGAGGAAGGTCCTCTGATGCAGGGACACGCAGGCTGGGAATAGTAACTGCGCGTCTGGTGTTAACGCCAAGTGTCAGAGAGAAGAGGCCGGAAAAGGCACGTCCGCCCTGCTTCCCTGCGGCGGTGGGCTCAGAGACGTGGCGGTGTCCCATACGGTGGCGGAGGGAGAAGCCGGGCCAAGCCTCCCGAAGGGCACGCAGGGGCCTAAATGGCCTCTTGCACCTTACGGGCATACATCCTCATAAAACAGGAAAATCTAGTCGCGAAGATTTAACTACGAGGGTATTCACGGAAGCACCGCTTGTCACGGGACAAGAGCGGAATTTCTAAGTGCCCCAGACACCCAAGAAGAATTGGAGGGCCCCTGCCACTGCTGTCTGAACAACGGCGAGGCTGCGTGTCCCAGCAGTCGGGTGGAGCGAAGGAGCAGGAGTGTGCGTGCCGACGGGGAAGGATATTCATCACATACTTAGTAACACCGCTACGGGCAAACAAACGCGTGCGCTAAGGTGCTGTTACAAGTGCGTGTATATGCATATGCATATACACCCGCCCTGCTAATTAGTCACCTCTGAATGATAACAGCAGCCTTTTTAGCTTCCTCCTTTTGCGTGTGTGGATTTGGAGATGTTTCTGGAATAGACACGCGGTGCTTTGTAAGAAGAAACAAAGTCCAGCCGGGGGCCCGGCAGGAGTTCGGTGCTCCCCAAGCGGCTCGTCGGTAACGGGACGTGCGACGCGTCCCTTCATCCAGCGCCTCCTTAGAGAGTGTCTGCCACAGGCCAGGGACGGGGATACGTGCTGAAGAATGGGGGCAGATGAGGCAGACGGTGTCGTGGGGAGGCCGGTCAGGTAAACACATCGGTGCACTCAGGGCTCAGATGTCCCGCAGTATTTGCAGAGGGACCGCCAGATCATCGGAGGGAGGAGAGGTCTTTTCCCATAGCCTGAATGCGGCCTCAATTTGCTTCGCGGCCTCTCAGCTAATGAGCTACTGGACAGAGAAAGGTCCTGGTAGCCGTGAGCAGGCTGGTGTTCAGACTCTGGCCTTTATCGTTCTCGTCGGGGAGGCCGACATCCTGTCCGGGAAGCTGTGTGGATCAGCGGAGGTTCGGGAAGCCTTCTGCGGTGGCAAAGCCCTGCACACACAGTGGGCACCGTTTAATGCCAAGATCTGAACTCCTTTCTACAAGGGCTGACAACCTGGGATTTGAGTCATGATGGATGCCAAAGTGCGGGGAAGAAAACATGTTTACAAACTGAAAGTCTCAACAGAGGAGGGCAGTGAGTAGCAGCGGGATTCCCCGTCACCGCACCCTGGCCGGGCTCACGTCATACGTGCCTTCCAACTCGGCCAGCTCCTGACTTTCTGGGACATGTTTGTAACCCCAAGGACAGTCGGCACATTTTAAATTGGGGGAAAAAAATTTTCTCTGCAAGATTTTGTGCACATACAAAGAGAAGTATTTAGGACCTACGGCCTTGAAAAGAAATCCTTCATATCTCACCTCTAGTATGGTGAAGAGAAAAAAAAGGCTTTCCAGTTAGGTGGACAAGGGTTTAAATGCTGGTGCCTTTGGTAAATTGCTGATTATCTCTTAGCTTCAGGATAATAATATCTTCCCTGCAGGGTAATAATTAGAGCGATACATGTGCATAGCATAGATGATCAATAAATGATAGCTGGGTTTCTTCCCCCCTAGTGGGAAGGCTCAGGGAACAAAGTGGTGGGGTCACCCTGCCCAGAAGCTGTACCCTGGGGGAAATCAGCTCATTATGAAAGGGAGGGAGAGAGGCCCGGGTGGTCGGGCCACCCAGAGCTAAGCCTGACCTGAGCTAAGCCTGACCTCAGCTCAGCCTGCAAAAGGTGAGCCAAGGATACTAGGTCTTTCTCAGTGATGTGGGAAAGTGAAATAAAACCGAAGGTCCAAATACGAAACCAGGCCTGTGTGTGGACCCCTCCGAGGTCCCGACTGGGGGAGCAGAAGATGTGGGTGTTTTGGGGGGGACGAGAGAGGAAAGGTGACCGAAGGTGGCACCAGCAAAGGCCGCTGGGAAAGCAGCCACGGACAGAAGCAGCACAGTGTGGTCCCTGTGAGGTCCCCCCAGAGCAACTAGTTGAGCAGGCCCGGGACGGGCCCGAGGACTGTCCGCATTCTACCAGGACCCACTGATACTGCCGCTTCTCAAGGCCCGGCCCAGGGAACTGCTCCTGCAGTGAAGGTGCCAGCTGTTGGCCTGGGGAGGGCTCACTCAGTCCCAATTCCAGCTGGGGACCAACTCCCAGGTCCAATTTTAGTATTTTTTAAAAAAAAAAAAAAAAAAAAAAAAAAAAAAGCACGACCTGTGTCCAGGGCCAAGGCAAGCTGCAAACATACAAACAGGGAAACAGCTTGAGAAGCAATGTCCTAAATTTCAACCACACACGTGCATGTGCATATATTCGTATGCATACGCACATGTGCGCACACAAATACAGACATACTTGGCTGTGCACACATATACATGCACATTCACATACACACACATGCACACCTGTATACGTACACCTGCCTATACACATGTGGGTGTATCCTCACGCAAGCTCTGTCTTAGTACTAATATTATCCCCATTTTCCTGATGGGGAAACAATAAGAAACTAGCCTAAGGCCACACAGCTAGTCTGTGGCAGAGGCTGGATCTGAAACAAGACAGTCTGGCTCCAGAGTCCCTGCTGGTACTCACTAGATTAGGACAGATAACCCAAGAGGTTAAACGGTAGACGCTGAGAGTCATAAACTCTAAAAGCAACTCAGGCCCCGGGGTCGGCTGCGTCCGGTGAGGCTTGCCAAGAATTCCTCCCGTTTCTGTACACGCGTGTTGTTTTTCCCCTCCAAAGTGAGAATCCATTTCTCCTGCCCCTGAATCTGGGCTGACCTGTGACCGCCTGACCAGCAGAATGTGATGGAAGTGATGTCGTCTCAGTTCTGAGCCTTGCCCTAGGGAGGCCGGGCAGGTTTTACACCAGGCACTTGGGGGGGTCCAGCTGCCACACTGGAAGAGAAGGTCCGTCTGGACTATGATGACAAGGTCTCAGAGTAAGCGAGAGGCCTCAGCTGCTGCCCCAGTCGTCCTGGCTGAGGCCCCACGTAAAGCCTTCTGGCCACGCGGCCTCGCAGGGCTCCCCCCGTGAACGCAGCCACACTGACTCCAAGTGGAACAGAAGAACCACCCTGCAGGGCTCAAGCACCCCACAAGACCGCGAAAAATAAACAGTCCTGGTGTTAAACCCCAAAGTTCTGGGGTGATTTGTCGGACAGCCAGTAGACTGACTCACGCACCTACGTGGCTTTTGCAGACAGTATACATCTCACGATAAACAGCGTTATTTGCTGAGCGCTGTTTGCCGGGCCGCACGTGAAGTGCTTTACAGTTACTGTCCTGTTTAGTCTTTATTGCCACCCACGTGGCAGATATTAATATTATTTCCGTTTTACCCACAAAGACAGTGAGGCCCAATGAGGTCAATTAATAATTTTCTCTACGCAGTGGCAGTTCCTGGATGTGGCCCTAAATCTGGCTTGTTTTAACTGCACAGACTACTCCGATCTCTCCAGAGAAAAGAACCAGGGGCCTGTGTGTGTATGCATATTTATACGTAGACACCATGGCCTACCCAAGTCGTCACATGAAAGTAACCATCACGCTGCATTTCCCGCACCGCATGCCCCTTAGCCCTGCAAACCTGGACCCACATTCCTGGCCCCCAGTCATGATTTACCATCATGGGCCACCCAATTAGCAATATGAACGGGGCCTGTAGCCAGAGCCTGTCACGTGAAACCGTGGGATGCCTAAAGTACGTGGTGAGAGGCTACTGGTCATGTTGAAGCCACCGAGGGATTAGCTTAGGGTAGAAGGTCAACTGGCAGGGCTGAAACAGATCGGGGTGCTTCAGGCAACAGGTGTCGGGAACAAAGGTGGCGACACGGGATGCCGAAGGAAAAGGAGGGTGGAAACTGAGGCTGGTTCCAGGACCTGGTTTTACTCCCCAGCAGCTGTGTGACCGTGGATCATACGTCACCTCTCTGGGCTCATGTCCCCAAGCAAGTTTGGTGATGTCCAAAGAACCGTCAAGTTCTTCCCGTGATTCTCTGTAGCTTCATCTCCAGCAAAGATCATTACACAGCATCTCCTTTCAACTGTGGGGAAAGCCCTGTGAACTCCACTTGGCCACCATGAAGAAACTGTAGGACGGAACGCGTCACTTGCTTTCTGGTGGCGACACAGTAAGTCACTGATGGAACCTCCAAATCCCAAGAACCCTCGAACCTGGGCTCCTCTCCTAGTACCACACTGTTCCCATTCTGTTCTCACACACTGAATTCTAGCTCCCCTTCTGTGGGAACTCACACCCAACCAACACCTCTGAACGCGTCCTGCAGCCAGCTGCAGCCCCTCCATTAACACAGAAGTCTGGCGAGAGGTTATCACTGTCAATGGGTTTTGTTTCCTCTGCCTCCTTAGAGATGGTATCAGGCAGGCCAGGAAGTTTCTTTTTCCCTGCAGTCCATTTATGTGGGAAGAGGAGAAGGACCTCTTGTCAAGTGCAAGGAAAGAATCAGCTGGGCACGTGGAGATATGGGCTGGCCCCGGCCTGGCCTCCCCCAGCCCTCCTGGTCACTCCGCCAGTCCTGTGCTGGGGGGGGGGGGGGGGGGGGGGGGGGGGCTATGCTGACTGACAGGGAGGACCACGGGGGACTTGCCATGATCATTAATCAGGAGCATTATCAGCATCCTGAAGAACCTCTGATCTGCTCCAAAGCCAGTTAGGAAACTGACCTTGTCCCCTTCCTGTCTCATAAGCTTCCAGTCCATCCAGGACCAAGAGATGGAATATTTCCCCATGTCCAGCACAACAAAGCCCGTCTGAGAAGCCCACATAGACGCCAGATGGGATCACCTCTCATCTCGTGAATGGGAATGCTAAGGCTGGAAGTCATGCCAGTGGGTACAAAGTACCCGGTGCACGTGAAGCCCCGCTCTAAGTGCCCAGTGTGCTGTGGTCTGCAGAGTAACGGCCACCTGCGGACGCCCACACCCCAATCCCTGAATCCTGTGACTAGTTAGGTTGCATGGCAAAGGCAGATTTAAGTGGCAGAGGAGAAGAAAGTTAATGTGCTGACGTTAAAAGCGAAAGATTATCCTGTGTGATTTCTGTGGGTCCGATATAATCAGAAGCATCCAAAATGGGAAGAGTCAGTCAGAGGAAAAGGTGACCATGGAAGGAAGGCATGGAGAGGCATTATGTCGCTGGCTTTGCAGACAGAGGAAGGGGCCACTAGCCGAGGAATGCAAGGGGCTTCTAGAGGCTGGGGATGACAAGAAAACACTTCTCCCCTAGAGCCTCCAGAAGGAACCAGCCCTGTGTTCCTTGATTTTAGCGTAGTGAAACCCACGTTGGACCTCTAACCTATGGAATTGTAAGATAATACAGCTTTCGGACAGTGAGTGGGTGGCAATTTGTCACAGCAGCGATAGAAATCTAATACATGAATGGACCCACTCAGTTAAAGTTCCTACAATAAACTCTACAAGGCGACATAGCAGTCTACTATGGCTCCAAGGATGCTGTGTAACAAAACACCCCAGCCCAAGGCAAACAACAACAAGCGTCTGTTTCTCACTCGCATGCCTGCCAGTCAGCTCGGGCTCCGGCTGGTACCGGTGGGGGGGGGGGGGCTTGTCTGAGCTCAGCTCCACTCGAGGTGTGAATTTAGGATCCGCTCCACGTCTCTCATCCTCTGTGGATTGGAGGCCATCAGAGGCCTGCTGCCACGATGAAACGTACGTGAGAAAGGAAGCCCAACCTTGTCCAATTTCCATCTTCAGCTCCAGGCATGCTGCTAACACCCCATGGGCCAAAACAAGTCGCGAGGCCAAGACGGAAGCCGTGGCGGGGAGGAGTGCGTTTGCCCACCTGGAGGCTGTGGCAAAGGTGTACTCGTGTTAATTTGATTACGGGGGAGTGAAGAACTGGAGCCCATAGTTCAGTCCACCACAGGCGGACGCTATGTCAGCGTTCCATTCTGCAGATGAGGAAACCAAGGCACAGAGTTCTTACGAAACTCATCCAGGATCACCCTCCTAGTAAATAATGGAGCGAGGATCAGAATCCAGTCTGGCTTCAGGAGGCTGGTCAAGGTACACCTACTAAGTGGAGAAGCTAGGGCCCCACGGCTCTGCACGTCACAGTTTCTGGGGCAGAAGGAGCGGCATCCAGGGGCTGCAGTGATCTCCAGAAGTAAGAAGAAGGCACTGGGAGGGGTCACCAGTGAAAACTGCAGCCAGGCCCTGCTGTCAGGTCCAGGCCTGGGGCCGGAGCACCTTCCAGAGATGAGAAGCATCCAGGCTGAGTCAGATGCCTATGGCGGGTGGTTACAGGACCAAATGTCCTTCTCCCCCTGCCAGGGGGGGTTGGGGGGGGACTCGGGGTGCGGGGCTGGATCTGATGCCAGGCGGGCAAGTCTCCAAGAAGTCAGCACGTGGGTTCCTTTGAAAGCTGTTTATCTGAAGACCAGAGTGAGGTAACGGGGCAGTGAGAGAAGCAGAGAGAAAGCGACACCCACATAATGTGGAAGGACGGGAAGCAGAGTGTAAGGCAGGGCCCTGGACAGAGGATCAGGAAGGAGGGAGGATTAGGAGAGAGGAAAAGAACAAAACAACGCTCAGAACTAAGTATTAGGGAGAAGTTTTATTTGAAGGCACTGAGCAGGGATTTCCTGGAAAGGGTCAGAAAGTCAAACCGACGATTGTGGGCATCTGTTTAGAAAGGCCACAGGGTCGCGGTGGCGGCCCCTCACCGTCCCGTCCAGAGACACAGGATGCTCTTGGGGGCCCTTCCATCTTGTGGCACGGGCAGGGGGCCACCCGAAGCCCCCCACACTTGACCCTGCAACTGGAAGTCAGCAAAATCGCCACTTTACGGCAAGGACATGCCAAGGATGAGAGAACACATGGGGGCCACCCTCCGTATCCTACAAGAACTGTGTCTGTCCCTTGTCCTTGTCACCCAGTCCAGGCCATCCCCTGCTGGGAGGGGTCTCCTCCCTCCCAGCTTGAAAGCTACTTTCACCTGAAAAACAGTGCATGTGAGGCCCTGTCCCCAGAGATGAGAAGCCCCCCAAGAGGGCAAGGGCAGAGGATACTTTGTGGGTACACACTATGAGCCCTCAGCCCAACTCCCAGACACTCCTGTGCCCCGTGCAAGCACCACTCCCCTCTGAGCTCAGAACATCACGGCTCAGTAGAGACTTTCTACAATCACCGCTTAGTGAATACAGAGGGACCCTGATTGCATTCCAGGTCCCTTCCTCTTTACCATGCTGCCAGTCCTGGATCCAGCACAGACACCACAGTGAGGACCTCCCCAAGACATGGGACAAGTGGCCCTTTGATTCATGTACCAACCATTCCCTGAACATCCCTTCTGGGGAAGCACTAGTAAGGGCCTGCCCGGAGGGGTTAAGAGTATGGACCCCTAGAGCACAGTGTGGTTTTGAATTCTTGTTTGACCATCTACTAGATGGGACACTGGGTCACAGGACTTAACCTCTCCGTGCCTCAGTTTCCTCATTTGTAAAATGAAGGCAAGAAGAGCATCTACACCCAAGAGGGTCTTAGGAGGCTTATCTGGTTGGGTCAGCTTCAAACTTAGAACAGTGCCTGGCACATGGTCAGTGGGATCAAAGCACTGGCTTTTATTATTCTTACTCCAGTAAGCGAAATTGACCTCATCTTTGCCCCTTCAGGATCTCAGTCTCATGAAAGCAGACAGATGTGAAACACAGATAAATGTATCAGGACAGATCATGCCAGGAGGAAAAGCAGAGAGCAGTGGGAGGAAACAACGGGAGAAGCGGAGGGCAAGAAGACACTCACTATGCAAAAAATAGAGGGAAGGAGCATTCCAAGCAGGGAAATGGCATGTGCAAAGGACCTGAGGTGGGTGAGAATGGGGTGTATCACTCAGCAGAGGTCAGTGTGGCTAAAGAATAGTGAGTGAGGAGAGACATCTGGGCCAATTCATGCAGAGCCCAGTGGGGGATTTGGGGTTTTATCCCAAGAACAGAAATGGGAAGGCCCTGGTATGTTTGGCGGGACAGACACAATTTGATTCACATTTTGGGAAGATTGTGCTGGCTGCTGAGCGGAGACAGGACTACAGGGGGACAAGGATGGATCCAGGGAGCCCAATTTGGAAGCTCTTGCCGTGAGCTACGGGGAAGATGAGGATGATTTTGGTTAAGAGTGTTGGCGGTGGAGGAAAAATAAACTCAGCTCCAGGCCCAGATGTTAGAGGCTCACAGGGAAAGAAACCACAAGCCAGCCAGGATGGTCGGCTGGCTGGCTCTTACCCGCTGCCCTGGCTGGGGACGAGCTGGCCTGGCATGAGTACTCAGGGTACCTTCATGATCAGCCAAGCTGGAACATTCTAGAACACCTCTCTTAGAGGATCTACCTAACAAGGGCTATGCAGGTCCACGATGAGAGGTGCTGCTGACCTGGGAGCTGACCCTCTCGGTGGGAAGGGATGCCATGGCGGGAAGCACGTGCAGATTGGATACTCCACATTTTGACAAGTGGCATTTTGAGGGGGGTCCACAAGCTCTGATCTGAGGGGGTGTGAAGGGAGGCATCCTCTCCTTGGGCACAGAACTCCCCCCACGCCCCCAACCCCTCAGGTTCTGAGCTACCTACAGGGAGGGACCATGTCCCTCCAGATCTGCAGTCCACGCCTGGAACAGACTCTGGGTAGGGCAGCGTCCTCACTGGAGGATGGCCTCCAGAAGGGCGGTCTCCGTTTTGTGCCCCCTTCCAACTCCGTGCCAAGCACAGACCTGCTACATGATGTGCACTCAATCAAACGGGGTCCAATGAAGGAATAAGTGACTGTCTTCCATTCCCCTGGAGGAAACTGCTCAATCACCAAATCAATGGCCAAGCCGAGGACCAGGCATGGTAGTGGTGCCCTAAAGGAATCTGCACCATGCTGGGAAGACAGACACAGGCAGGAAGAGACACGGTCTAGCCCAGCTGTCCAGACACGAGGCGCTCAGATGGAGTCTTTCCAACAGAGGAAGATGACCCCCAGGCAGAAGAGCCCAGCGGGAAAGCAAATGGTGGAACAGAATTCGAGCATGGGCAGGGTTTGGATAATCCGAGGGTCGGTTAGAGAGAGGGGACCCCCTCACTCACTGAACGCCTGTCATTGGCCAAGCCCCAGTAAGAGCCTTCTTCTCAGAAGAACCTCTGTGCTGGAGCTCCCAGTCCCAGTCCCAGCTGAGGGCACTGGGGTTCGGGCCAGCGAAGTGACCTGCCCGCTGTCAAAGAGCCAGCAGCTGGCGGAGCTGGGGAAGAACAAAGCCCTGTCTGTGGTCCCCTCAAGACAAACGACAGGATCAGGTACACAAGTCAAAGAAAGACAATGGTCAGTTCCAAAGACAAGAGATGAACCCTGCACGCAAGGTGTCATCACAGAGGTGACCGGGATGGGGTCACAGGGTGGGGTGACGTGGAGGTGGGCTTTAGCGGAGGCTGGGAGAGGGACAGGGTCAGAGCTGGGCTTTCAGAACTTGGACCTGGCTGTTGGGAGGTGAGGCTGAAGGCTCAGCCCACCCCACAAGAGGGCGGGACCGAGAGACGGAAGGAAGCAGGACACGGAGGGAACGGGAAGGAAGCAGAGGCAGGACTGCTGGCTGGGAAGGGTCCAGGGGGAGGGAGAAACCACTTCTCCTTCCCTTTCTGATGCTAGCAAGATTATGACTGCAGAGCGGGGCTGCACAGGGCAGAACTTCCCAAAAATCAGGAGGAGCACGTATCCCCAACAGAGGTTGCAGTCCCCAAATCATGCGGTCACCTCCCACCTCCTCTGCCCACACTGGAGCTTCATCTGCAGTGAGCTCTGGCCTTGGGCCCTTGGGAACCCAGCAGTGCGTGCCCCTTCCTCCAGATATCAGGGCAAAAGAGAGGCAGAGAAACCGGAGAGATCCAAAGACAAGTGGCAAGCAACAGCAAGAGATGCGGCGTCACCCTGTGCTATGGATGAAGAAACCAAGGCGCAAGAGGTAAACAACCTAATATCACACAATGGGTACCCGCCAGATTCAGAAATGAGACGCAGGGCAGGGCCTTCTGTGTAGACCTGTCTGTATCAACTAGGGACCCAGCAGGAGGAAGCCAACGAGTACCCTGACCTCACCCCCTTCCTGCCCACCCACCTCACCTCCCAAACAGAAGCTAGAGGGCCCAGGAGCCCCGTGGGGCATCCGTCCTGTTGCACCTACACAGGACAGCCTCCTTGTCCCAGAACAGGGCGGAGGACAGGGGGCATCTGGAGGGGGGCAAGGAGGTGACCCGGCACCTCGCCACTCCCCCAGCCAAGACCGTGGAGGGTACTAGAGCCTCAACAGCCGCCACTCTGCAGAACCAGGGGGCAGAGGCCCCCCGCCCGGGCTCTGCAGCGGGAGGCCACCTGGCTCTCCCCCCACAAGCGCCAGCCACCCCCAAGGGATCTAGCATCTTCACATCCCCTCTTTCCTTCCTCATTCACACCCCCTGCCCGGCCCTGCCTCTATCATCTGCAAACATCTCAAAGGCAGGCAGGCTGTTGGGAGTGGCCAGTTGTCACGTGGAAGGGACGGGGGGCAACCTACGCCCAGTGCAGCGCGAGATGCCCACTCAGCGCCCCGGCCCGCCCCCCACCCTGCCGGCCCAGCCCTGAACATCGAGGCCTGGCTGCCGGTAAAAAGAAAGGGCTCCTATCTCTGATTCCTCAGGGCCTCTGATAAGAAATGTCATCCCTCGCTGGGTAATATTACCCGCCCGATAAGAATCTCTATCAAGCTCAAACATATGGCTGGCTACAGAACACAGAGCCCAGCAGAGCAGGATAATTTATTTGCTTGAGCTGAAAGCCCTGGGCGGCCGAGAGAAGTGCACTGAATAAAAGAGGAAGAGGCAAACTGGAACCTCTCTGACTTGCCGTGGGGATTTTCCCCGGGGAAGGCGGGGGCACCTGAGGACATCAGGGGGCCCTCCTCACTTTCCTCCCTACACGATAAGCACTTTGCCCGAGTCCTCCCTCAGAGGACACTTTCACTTAGGGCTACCACGGTCAATCCTCATGACGACCTCCAGAGAGGCCTTTTTCGCTTCCTTTTACAGCTCAGGAGACGGAGATTCGGCAAGGTTAAGGAACATGGCCAAGGTCACACAGGCGGCCACGCCAGAGCTCGGACTCGGACGCCATCAGGTCTGCGTCTGGGTCGCCCGGCTCCTACGCCTACGTTCATCAGTCAGGTCAGGCGTGCCCAACTTCCCTGCGCACACGATCGTCTCCAAGGTCCCCCTGAAGCCTCTCCTCAACTCTTGCGTCTCGGCAGCCTGGGGGAAAACGAGGCTTGCCGAGCATAGAGATTCAAGGGAGAGAGGAAGGGAGGCCAGGCCAGTGCGCAGGAGAGGGAGAGGGGATGTCGGGGGCTTGTACCTCATGTGTCAGAAGCACGGTGGGTAGAAGGAAGTTGGGGAAAGAAAACGCACCCCCTCTGTACACCCCTTCGTGTACTCACCGATGGAAAGCTACTATGCCCGGCCCTGGGACTGACCCAGGCAACAGAGCTGGCCCTGCCCTCATGGAGCAGACTGTCCCCTGGGACTTACAGGTCAGTATAGAGGCAGGAACGACAGGATGTGTTGAGTGTGGATGCCTGAAGTATAGGTGGCTGACAGGGAAAGGTGGCAGTTAGAACAGCTCTTTGCACGCTCTACACCGTTCTCTGCCCTGGTTTCTTACTCAACGTTAAGGCCGACGTTGCTTTATTTTTTTTTTTTGGATGTTTATTTATTTTTGAGAGAGACAGAGACAGAATGCGAGAGGGTGGGGCAGAGAGAGAGGGAGGCACAGAATCCAAAGCAGGCTCCAGGCTCCGAGCTGCAGCCCAGAGCCTGACGTGGGGCTCGAACTCGCAAGCTGCGAGATCATGACCTGAGCTGAAGTCGGACGCTCAACCGACTGAGCCACCCAGGCGCCCCAGGCTGACATTGCTTTACAAAGGTTAATATGGCTTCAGGATTGTTCCACATTACATAAAGCCACTATTTCTTTTTTTTAACAGCCGTGTGGTATGCCATTTCATGGATGCATTGTGATTTCAGCAGCCAATCTGGAACTGGGGAGCTCTCAGATCATGTCTCATTAAAGACACACGAATAGGTAGAACACAGAGGATTTGGTGTGTCGGGCGGTGAAATGACTGCATATGTGACCACGATGGTGGATACATGTCACACATTTGTCGGAGAAGATAGAACGCCAAGAGTGAATCCTAACGTACGCTATGCACTCTGGGTGATAATGACGTGTCCGTACAGATTTGTCAGCTGTAACAAGTGTCTCACTCTGGTGCGGGATGCTGACAGTGTGGACACGGGGACAGGGAGTGTATGAGAACTGTCTGTATTTCCCACTCAAGTTTTCCGTGACCCTAAAACTCTCTGAAAAATGAAGTTTTTTCTTAATAAAAATCAATTGATCACGCAAGTGTAAATTTAACCCTGGCTCCGTTCTATTCCATTTTCTGTTGACTATATTTTCTCCTGAGTTTGGGTCATACTCTCCTGTTTCTTTACAATATGCAGTAATCTGATTAAAAATTAGGCACTGGATGTCAATAAATAAACAGTGTCTCATCATTTGACAAGCTGGTGGCTCCGTGTGTGCCTGCCTCCCTCAGACCTTGGTGGGGCTCTGGTAAAAGAACCTTACTATTCTTTGGTGAGCAACTCCTGCCATTTCCACAAAAGCACATGAAGAAACAAACATATTTCACTTCTGGTCACCAAAAATCCACTCCTCCTGCCCCTTCCTCCTCTGGCCCATGGTAGCTTAGTTCTGGAAGCAAGCTGAACACTGAGCAAGACACCAACCTCTCTTCATTCAGGCCATTCTCAGAGCTGGTCAAATTCTTCTGGGCCCTGAGATGTTTAAGAATGCAGATAGCCCAAGGCTGGCGAGAGGCAAATCTCCACAGGAGCTCGGGACTCTGCCAAAATCATAGCCTGACCTAGGAAAACACAGTAAATATCAATTATGCAATTTGGAGCCCGAGGCACCTTGAAGAAAAGCATCCGTTACAAACAGAAAATCCTCTGATAGTCAGAAGATAAAGAACACCTATCTCCCTGGCTGAAATGAGGTAGATCCCAAGGTAAAGGAGGTTATCCTACCTGGGAGAGGATGGCATCCACTGGAGGGTCCTGAGAGAAAGGCTGTGACCCATGTGGTCACAGTTGGAGGGACCAAGAGCTTTGGGAACAAAGGGGAAGGCGGCACTGACTCTTGCTGCACGAGTTAGAAAGAGGATATTTGAGCTAGGTATTAAAGAGTCAGGGGGTTACCAGGCAGAGAAAGGAGAGAGGACTTTCAGATGTCTTAACATCACGTGTGACATGGAGTGACAAAGAGTGGCCTGCCAGTGGTCAGGCTGTAAAGACAGCCCTCCTATGCTGGGCCGATGGTGTGGCTTTCCTCTACAGAAGCCATGGGGAATCATAGAGGCTCTTGAGCAGCAGAGTGATAGATTACCTCTAGCCCCGTCATCACCATGAAGGGACTCTTGGCCACATGGGACCGATATACCACAGTTCCCAGATCATTCTGCAAAGCAACTGACATGGTGGTTAAACAGTAGCCTCCAGAGCCAGCAATCTGCCTTGAAATCCCAGCCCTGCCCCTACCAGTTTGAGCAGGTTGCTTATCTATTTGAGTCTTCTCATCTGTGGAATGGGGGTAATATCAGCAGAGGCGTCTCAGTGCTAGTGTGTGAACTGTGGCCCAGGTAAGTTAATGTACGGAAGGTGCTCAGGCCAATGTCTGGCACATGATAGGGGCACAGCACATGACAGCTTTGGGGGCTGTTCCCATCTCACTCGTTTCTCCATTTTCCTCTTTCGGCGCTGTCTGTTCTTCTGAGACTCCGGCTGTCCTGAATCTGAGCAAAGGTGAGCAACTTGAAGGCAAGGTTGGCTTCAGGCTTAGGAGGGCTGGAGCTATTGTCTGAAACTGCCAGCCTCTCATGAGCTTCCCAACATCCCTGAGGCAGGTGTGATCTAAGACGGTGCTTCTCGGGGTGCCTGGGTGGCTCAGTCGGTTGAGTGTCCGACTTCGGCTCAGGTCATGATCTCGCAGTCTGTGAGTTTGAGCCCCACGTCGGGCTCTGTGCTGACAGCTCGGAGCCTGGAGCCTGCTTCGGATTCTGTGTCTCCCTCTCTCTTTGCCCCTCCCCTGCTCATGCTCTCTCTCTCTCTGTGTCAAAAATAAACACACATTAAGACGGTGCTTCTCAACACCGTCGCACCACAGAACCACACCTGGGGAGATGTTACAACCTCAATGCCCGGGTCCTGTGTGGTGGGGGGACTGGGGATCCCGGCAGCAAGGTTGTTAAACTCCTTGGGTGAGTCCAACGTTACACCCAGTTTGAGAACAACGATCTGAAAGTTGAAGGGAAACACGGCAGAGGGAAAGTGCGCCACCCTCAGTTGGGTCATCTCCAAAAGGCACTTGGCTCCCTCGGTTTCTGCTTCCTCACCCACGGGGCAACGCCTGGGCGCCTTACATCTGCCCAGGGATGTCACACTGAGCTGGCAGCATTGAGATGGCCCTGGATCATTAAGACTGTGACAGAGCCGTCAAATCTCTTCTGGAAATAGGCAAGGACATCGGATACCAACAGATGCAATCACGCAGCGACATGCGGTGGGAAGAGCTGCAGTCAGGTGCGCAGAGCTGGTAATGGGTTAGGCTCTCTCGCTCACCAGCTACCGGCAATCCCATCCCTTCTGTGCTCCGCTTGCTCAGTGGAAGACCGGGGGGTAAGAACTGATTTGCTGATCAGACAAGGCGTCTGTGAAGTGCAAGCAGGAAGACACAGGTCACACTAGACGAGTCAGGCTACTGGAAAACATTTTTATTTAACATTTTCTAGGTCCCCCTGCAACATGGAAAGTTCCGGAGAGAGAAATGCCCCCTTCTGCAACTGGTGTGACACGGTGGGGAGGGGACAAGGAGTAGTGCTGGCCACATGAAAGCTTTCTTCACAGCAGGCCGGAGTGGCACCTACCAGGGTCCAAGTGGGGATCAGTGATAGGACAGGAGGGCAGGGCGTGGCCGAGGGCGGCCCCAGGGAGACGTTAAGATAGGAAATGTTATCTGGGAACAATGGAACCACCACACCGTTGTCCTGGCCTGGATCTGACAAGCGGGGATAAGACTCCAGGAAACACGGCCCTCGACAACTGGCCAGACTGGGCCCGACACACCAGTGGCCCATTCGTTTGGTTTTGCCTCCATTCATTCATGTCGCCTGCAACAGGCATAAATTCACCACGTACCACGAACTGTGTTAGAAGGTGGGGATGCCAAGATGAATAAGGCCTGGTCTTCACCCTCGGGAGGGGCAAAGACAAGGCAAACGAAGAAGTGACATTTAGGTACAGCAGCAACAAAATAGCCACCACTCACTGATGGCCAACTGTGCATCAGGCGGCATGCTTTTTTATTTTATTTTACTTTATTTTAGTTTAAAAATTTTTATTTATTTATTTTTGAGAGACAGAGAGAGAGAGAGAGACAGAGAGAGAGAGAGAGAGAGACAGAGAGAGGGGGACACAGAGAGTCCCAAACACTCAGTGCAGAGCCTGATGTGAGGCTTGAACTCACAGACTGTGAGATCATGACCTGAGCCAAGATCCAGAGTCAGATCTTAACTGACTGAGCCACCCAGGAGCCCTGTATTTCATATTTAACCTCTCAAATCCTCCGTGTCCCCTCCAAGTATGGGCTCCTTTTTACACATAGGGAACCTGAGGCTCAGAGAGGCTGATTACTGGGCATAGATCACACAGCAGTTGAGAGGCTGGGCTCAGACCTGGACCCAGAACAGTGCTACTCCAACACTTGGGCTCTTTCCTCACAGCTCAATGCTGCAACCAGAGACTTGAAAGGCAAGGAGACAAATATCCTCTCTCGTGTACCTCTTACAGGCACAGTCTCCGCATTTAGAGGAAGTGTTAACAAAACGTTAAGGAGCAAACAAGAAACAAAATGAGGCACAGCACCCAGACTATATTTATTGTTCAATGAATGCTAATGAGTCAGGATCCAAATGCTATAGCATCTGAGGAGCAGAGCAGAGGTGTTGAGGGGGTTGGGACCTGGCACACCCAGGCTTGAATCTCAGCCTCAGGACTTACACCTCCCTGAACTTCATTTTCCTCGTCTTAAAAATGGGAACCGTAAAACCTACTGAAGGCCGACTGGACTGAGGTCCGGATAATGGGGACAATTTCCTGCCCTCAAGACCCCTGCAGCCCCTCCTGGGGCTTGTAAAAGGGCAACCAGAAGAGCAGCTGGCATGTTCCAGAAGCTTCTGCTGAGTGTGGAAACGGGCTCCACACGAGGAAGGGGCACACTCGTGTTTAATCTGGGCACTGCGACTGCACACAGGCCTGGCCACCACCCCTCCTAGGCCGGCTTTTCCTCTTGGCAAGTTAAGACTCCAAATGCTGGGCTACAACCAAACGGGGGTCCTGGGACAGGCTCGGGGAACCGCTGCCGCCACAGGCAGCTTTTACTTAACCTTTACTGCGTCCGCGCTGTGCTGAAGGCCCCAGTTAGTTTTGTTGTCTGTTTGTTTTACCAGCAGGGAGGCATTAATGGTTTGTTTGTTGTTTTTTTTTTTTTAATTTATTTACTTATTTTGAGAGAGAGAGCGCGCGCGTGCATGCCCAAGTGGGGGAGGAGTAGAGACTGAGACAGAGAGAGACAGAACCCCAGGCAGGCTGTGCACATTCGGCATGGAGCCCGATGTGGGGCTTGAACCCGCAAACTGTGAGATCACGACCTGAGCCCAAATCAAGAGTCGGACACTTAACCAACCGAGCCACCCAGGAAACGGGACTCTGGATCCAGATTCACCCACTGCTTGTAGCTGGGTGGTCTTAAGCGAGTTACTTTACCTCTCTGTGCCTGACTCTGGGCTTGGAGGCCGTCTCTAAAATGGGCACTCATCCACGCAAGAGATACTTACTAGGTACCCACCCGTGTTCCAGGGAATAAGCCATTAAACAAAAGCAACAGAAAGCTTTGCATTTGTGGGGCTCGGGGGCAGGGGGTTGGGGGGGGTGGGGCGGGTGGCGGTAGAAAGTCACCAAACAGATACACAAGTGGGTCACATGGTGCGAAGTGCTCCAGAGATCACTAAAGAGAGAACGGAACGGTAGATGGGTCATGAGGCGGGTACTACTTACACAGCACGGCCAGGAAAGGCCTCTCTGATAAGGAGACGTCTGAGCCACGTGTGCATATGAGTGATGTTTACTAAGCACTTACTATGTGCCAGGCACGGCTCTGGGTTGGGTGAGGTGTTGTGCGTGGAGTGACAAACTCTAGCCTCTCAGGCAGCCCTAGAAGCACGGCAGCGACCCCCTCCCCCCATGTCGCCCAGGACAAAACTGTTACACGTTCTGCTCAAGGTCACTGAGGGGGATTCCTGAACCGGACTTGGGAGCCCAAGCTTCAGACCGCCGTGTGCTAATTCTTCCATTCCTAGGGCTCCATGTGCCGGCCAGTGATGCTCCAGGGGTGACCGCTGTGATGGCTGTGGAGACGCCACCAAGAAAGCAGCAGAAAGAGCAGAGGAGGAAAGGAAGAGAAAAGACACTGCTCTTGGCACGGAAGCCACCTACCACACCCATCTGGAAAATAAAGGAACGTGGACTGTGGGCGCTGCTCCCTCTCTGTATCTGTCTCTGACACACATACTGCCTTCTCTCCTTTTGTACTCATCTTTACCTAATTTCCTCCAGGAGGAAGGCCTGAGGCCCTGTATCCATTTTAGACTGACTTCTGAACTGCAACTCTGCCCCAGGTTCTGCGCTCTCCCACGGCAAAGGAAAGAGCCATCCCATCCAGGCCACGACGGCACCTCGACCCGGCCCACGGCCATCGTTCCAGAGCCAACCTTGGTGTTTTTCTGCTCAAGCCACAGCCTTGGGCAACGGTAAAACCCGGAGGGTGGACAGCTAACGACGGTCCTAGAACGTCCCAAAGAAGCAGACATGGTAACATTGATCAGCTGCTGCCTCAGGCTCTCACACCCCAAAAGGCCAGAGAGAGCTTCTTGAAAAAGACTGCTGAAGAACGTGCTTCCAGGGACCCACCATAATGTGCTTCTTCACTGCCTTGGCTTTGAACTGGAGCTCCTGAAGGCACGGCCTCAGGAATCTGCCCCTACGCTTAGCATCTGTAGGGCCACCATGTTTGATGAGGGGATGCACAGGTGGATGGATACAAGGGAAGGAGAAGAGGAAGAAGGGAGCGAGAAGAGGAAGAAGGAAGAAGAGGAAGAAGGACACGAAATCATGGGAAGTACAGATACAAGAGGAAGACGGATAAAAGCAAAGTGCCACGGAAGGGCTTTAGAAAAGAACCATGGAGTACTACGCAGCAGTTAAAAAAGAATGAGGTGTGTGCGCGCACGCATGTGCGCGGACACACGTGCGCGGAAGAGCGGTAAGAGACAGCTGTTGGGGGAAACACGGATGCGTTGAAAGAGTCGATTCTTTCCAGCTCCAAATGCTATTGGGTCCGTGGAGCCAGACTCAGGGCTGCTGGCTGAACCAGGCGATAAATCCCAAGGAGATCAGCTGACCCCAGTCCACCGCCTCAGGCTGACATTTCCACCCGTGATGAAAGGAAGGCCGTGCCCTCTCTCCAGGGCTCTACGCCACAGCAGTCTTGTGAGCCGGCTTCCCAGTCTCTCTCTGCCCCTCCGGTTTCTTGAAGATACTTGCACTGGTTTCAAGACAAAATAACTCGGACGAACTTCCCTCACCTCGCAGCCCCCAGCCTGTGATGACCCATGAAGGGACAGTCGCATTGAGCTGTTAAGCTAAAGACCCGTGGGCTCCCTTCTGGCTCTAGGTTTCACCCACGGGATGTTGTGAATATTTCTGGATTCACTGTCTTCATCTAAAATCCAGGAGATTTCATGACGGCACACGGTCCCAAGATGAATTCAGCACTACTGGTCACACCCAACACAATAGCTGGCTGGGTGCTTAGGGAAGGGAGGGGGGAGACTTTTTATTGAGGGTATGAACTCCTCTCCCACTGGCTACCATCTCATCCCTCGGAGACCACCTAG